CCCCAAAACCCCAAAACCCCAAAAGATGGCAATTTAATTACAAGTGAATAAATTAATTACTAAAAATAAAATTACATTATGATAGCCCAGCAATATTTAAAAGATAATTCTTTCTAGGACAGCAGACAGCACATCTAGACAGATTACAACTAGCAAAAGAGTTCTTATAATCTAAGTAGCCAGTCTTTCGACAACGGAGCTATTTTCAAATATGGATTCCAAAAGCGTCAAAAATCTATGAGTGGTATCAATAACTTATGACTTGAAAACAACTTACATAATAACACTAATGTTTAATCGAAACAATAAATCTTATTCCAGAAAGCAATGAATCGCATGGATCTAAGAAGCCGACAAAACAAGCATTTGAATTAAAAGGAAGATAAATTAAATGGTAGTTACTCGACAAATCATACCTTCATGCAGTAAAATAGTCTTCTACCCGCTTAATAGAGCAAAGTAATTGGCATGAATAATAAACCTAGCAAGGAAGTAATAGTCAAACTTCAGCTAAATAGTGAAATACCTATGACCTCAAATAAGTTTAAAATTAGCAATAATAATACTCAGATAACAGTTAAGAACTCACTCATTCAATCTTAGTCTAATAGGTATCACACAAATTAACTTATAAATAGCAGAAAGCACCAAACATTTACCTCAGCTATAAAGCAAAGATAAAAAAATGCATCCATAGTAGAAGATAAAAGCTAGAACTAATCTTAAAATATATCTGAAAATAGTAGTCCTTATACAAGAGGTCCAAATTTTCATCATAGACATTCTAGTGTCATTAATGCCTCTATCAGCTCCTAGTAGTAAGTTTGATCATTTTTAATCTATTGTAGTTAAGAGGATGGAGATATTGGAACTCCCAAGAGTAAGAAGAGCAATAACAACTATTCAATCCATACTAATGTCAATGCAACTATGGTTCACAGAAATCAATTGATGCGCAGAGAAGTTTAGTATAAAGACACCATCACCCGACAGTAAAATGAGATTTTAGAGTTGCAGGAAGAGGTTGACAAACTCAAGAGTTATCTTCGAAACATTCTGGACAATAATGATGTGACCCTTTTTAACAAGAATAGCAGTCCACACTCTAGATCTACGAATGTGATGATGGAGGGTAAAGCAGATCACATTCACTCAATATATTAGGATCTCTACATCACTGACTTAAAGGTAGAAGTGGAGTAAAATAGCAAGGATATGCAGTATTATAGGTAGAAACTCTAGGAGAAGGAGATTCAGAATAGCATGCTAATCAAGGAAATCAAGGACATGAAGAGAATCATAGACAATTATAGAAGGATATTCGAAAAAAGAGAAAAAGCTACTAAGATACAATCCTAGCAGCAGCAATTGTACAATACTAGCTATAGCAATTACAACAACTCTAATAAGATGTTTGACTAAGAGCTGTAGACATTTAGAGATCAGTTTTAATAGAGTCCGAGTAGGATTGGACGCAAGAGAGACGCAATAATCACTTTGATAAATTCAAATAACAATATTAAAGATTAAAGTAATGATCCAGCTGTTGAATATTAGGCAGTCAATTTGTAAAGCTTGGATCAAAATCAATTAGAGTTGAAAATGTAGCAATCTTCGCTTGAAACAAAATCTGTTTAAATGAATTAAGCAGACAAAGACTCACTTTATCACAGTATTAGACAGATTCTTAAGTCTTCGAGTGTCAGGGGTCTTTTCAAGAATACCTATAATGTCATTAAGAAGTAATTAGGCTGTTCAAATATCTACTTTTTGCTGATGAGCTTTGAGTTGATAAATCAAGCCAAGAAGGATAAACTCTAGATTCAAACAATTAGAGTTGAACAATGTAATCATTAATTTAATCTTAACATATATATGAATAGATAACTTGGAGCTATTGCTATTAAACATCTAAAAGGATAATTTCCACCTTAAGTTCAATGAGATCAAGCAGGCCTTTAGAGGAATCATGAAGGATAAACTCTGTATTCACAGTTTCCATAAACTTTCAAATATGAGCGAGTATGATTTAATCATGTAGTTGGAGCATGATTAAGGATAAAATAGTATGCGCTTCACTATAGAGGACAGATAGTTCCTCTCAATAGTTGGGAATCTGTTTTCCAATGTTTATGAAAGACTTAAGAATTTAGTTTCAGCCAAGGAAAGTTTAATGCGCTCTTACTAGTTCCTTGATACCTGTAATCTATTACTTGTCAATAATCAATTTCTTTAGTCAAGGTTTTACTGGCTGAGAGGAACCACACTCTTCTGTACTATAATATTGAGAAGATCTTTCCCAGCTTGTTCAACTATGAGTATGTGGGTGTGCTCTTTAGAGATGAGAAAAAGAACGATCTCTATGCACTCAGAATTGATGACCCAACAAATCCTAAAATACTTGAAGAGAATATGCTTAGATTCCCAATGACTATAGGGTTTACTGGTAGAGCCATTAGTAAACGTAAAGTACTCATTAGCTTACAAGGTGAGAAGGGCAGTGAGAATTTCTCAAGCGAAATTGATAACTTTTTGAATGTTCCTAGGATCAGGAATATGATGGTTGGCCCTATTGAGGATATGAATGGGGAGATTAGAGGAGTAATATAGTTTATTAATAAAAAAGACAAGCCAAGTATTGATGCCTCAGATGAAATTGAACTTAAAACTATTATTCCTGCTCTTGGAGAAATGATCAAAACTGCTGATGAAACACTGAAGATTATTAATATATCAGCTGGGCTAAGTTAGTCTCTGGGCTAGATAAATTAAACAATTTATGAAAGGACTGAGATTGTCCAAGCTAAGAGTATGCCAATGATTAGTGGGAGCATTAAATATATGAGTGATTTGATTACAATTTTGGTGCATGGCAAGAAGGAAGCTGTATTCTCGGATAATCAAATGATGCATGAGGTATTCCGCGGTATAAGGAATAAAATGCTTGCATAGAATAAAAACAGTGCAAGAAATAACAATATAAATATAGTGGATGAGTCAAATAATTGATCAATCAGAGACTAGCAGATGCTAATATGAAAATGATAATATATCCAAACAAATGACATTCTTAATTTAATAATCAAAATGGATTTGCTCAATATGATCACAAGGGGTTTTGGGGTTTTGGGGTTTTGGGGTTTTGGGG